TACCGACATTACATACCCCGCCTCACCAACAGATACACAGCAGTTATGCTCAATGTGATCTCTTGTAGGATGCAGGGACTGCGAACCCTGACCCCAACATTGAGTTTGGTGGAAGACAATTGCAGGCCTGAGTTGGGAATATTCTTTTTATGAAATGTCTTTGAAGTGGATTTCATTGTTGCTGCTATTTGATTATCATGAGTAATACATTCATAAGAATATTGATTTTGATTTTCATGGTTTAATGATTTTGAAAATATTGCTTTGCTTATTGTAATTGATTTTAAAATCTAAAAGTTACTTATACCATCTTTGGCCTAAATTATCTTCTACTGGACCATTAGAAACCTGGTAAGCTCAGCTTAATGCTGAGCTGCTCCGTTGTACTAGTCACTGTGGGGTGTGTAGGATTGCTACCTTGTTATATGATAGGCAATTTTTATTTATCTATTTATTTTTTTTTTATTGATTTTGTTATTCTCCCTCCTTTTTGGGAAGAGCTCTATCTGATAGCCAGAAAAAGGTAAGGATCTCAACTGTTGTTTAGGGGGAAAGAAAAATGCAGCATGTTGGTGTTAATGCGACAAACAGTCGTGGTAGTTATGGATCTGCTGTCTCAGGTTCCTTATGTGATATGTATTACCTCAGCTGTTCTAAATAGTTTTTGGACAAAACTTGGGCATTTTTTACCTACTGAATCAAACAAGCCACTTGAATGCTAGTTCCAATGAATATTAGAATAGATGAGCTCTTCCTAAGAATCAAAATTTTACTTCCTATTAAACTGTGGTTGTTATTGGTGCCTGTTTAAGTTTTAAAGTTAATGACCTGCAACCCTACACACCATCCCCTCTGCCCGCCCCCTCCCCCTCCCCATGGGTCCTGCACCTCCGTCAGGCTCACAGTTGCACTCCTGTGCTGATATTAATATACCTGTTTTCATAAAAGATTGATTCTGGTTAAGATAAAAAGAATTGCCTTAATTGTCTGGAATGCAAACAAATATGTTAAACTTTCTACATAACTGGTTACAAGAATCAAATAAGTTTGCCATTGCACCTCTTGGATGATTATCAATTGTACAACATTATGGCATATATCCAGTTGGCACATTTTCTGCTGTATCAGCAGTCTAACCATTTTGCACAAAAAGAAAAAAAAAAAGATTTTATGCATTTAAATGAAAAAATTGCATCAATTTTTTCAACCAGTTTTGTTGTGTGCAATGAGTGTGTGAGAGTGTAGGATCCCCCTGGACCCACCAGGTACACCTGCAGTATTCCCATACGTTGGCATGTTCATCGTTTGTTTTAGTACCCTGGGGATGGCTACAGCCTATGCCATATGCAAAATATACATCCATTTTCAAGTTTGTTTCATATGTTTTATCCTAACCTGTTAGGATTAGGTTATTCTTGTATTTATTTATGTATTTCTTTACTGTTGCCTTCAGTACAATGTAACTTATCTTCTGTCAATGTCATGTGTTTATCATTGACACTACTGCTGTTATGTTGATTTTTTTGTACTTTTTTATATTATATACTCACCCTCAGTGTCCATAGCACAATGGGAAGCAAGGCAGATCAGAAAGAATAGTGTACAGTATATTCTTCATTTTGATGAAATATAGCAGTAATGGGATACAAGAAAACAGATTAATAAGTTGCCAAGACAGATGTGTGAGACAGACGTCATGAGATAGGTTTAGAAAACAAGTACTATCACATATGTAGAAAGACAAGACGTGCCAAGACAGACTTAGTATGAGAGATGTTCTAAGCTAGATATACTAAGGGAGCTGTAATAATAAAACAGTTAGCATTGGTCAGACAGTGGATGTGGTGTTTGGGCTGTCACAACATGGGCCAATTTGAACATGTTCTGCTTGTGGTAGATGATGCCATTAATATGATGAGGTTGTATTTTTAGGCAGTACTAATTGTAATGACTAATGTTCAAATACTATTTACTTTTTATTTATTTATTACCTTTTTTTCTGTGTAAGTTACAGGGCACAGCTCCTGATGTACTTAATTTAGGGGTGCCCCATAATGGTTTAATGATATCCGAACATCACTGTTAAAAAGGGTGGATATATATCATGTTTACTGTTGTGTTAATTGTGTAACAACCATGCTAGTACTGGTTAAGTTCAGATTATCCTCATTTTTTTGTAATTTAAAGAATCAATAATTATTTATTCCCTCATGTTCAGTTCGCTCAAGTACTGTGTATTGAAAAATCTTTTTGTGCTCAATTTAGTTTGATTCTCATTATTATCTATGTGGCTGTGTAATCCCTGAAAGGCCGGGGGTTTGTTACACAATAGCTAACTTTATACACATTAATGATATTGATACACATAGTAATTTATAGTGGCAGCAGTACAGAAAGTATTTAGAATTATACCAATCAGGCAACTCAGAAAAAGACATGTAATTCATGAATTGTACAGTCACTGATAGTTAATGAAGGTTGATCCTTTGGCACATTTATGTACATTTGTATGTGACTTTATTTAGATTTCCATTAGATACATTTAAAGACTGTAGGTGAATAAATAATTGTTTTGTAGTAAAACAAAAAAGAATAAAAAAAAAATCAAAGGAACAGTCCATATTACCTATCATTCTTGGCTGCCATTAGTTGAATTGTTGAAATATAGCAAAATTGTTGCCATATTGCTACCAGTTATAAAATATTTTCCATGACTCATTCCTAGATCCCATGACAGAAACTTTCAGACTTTGTTATGGGATACTGTCTCAATACCTCCCCTCCCCCCATAGTTGTTGATACACTCATAACCCTGGCCACAGCATATCCAGTGCCTTTCCTCTGCAGTAGGGAACATATCACAGCTTCTTATGTTCAGTTAGGTCCCTACTTGTATTGTAGGGCTGGAGCAAGTTTAATACACATGAATTTTGGGTGTCATTGAAAAATGTATGTGTTTTCTTAGTACAGGTCATCTGCCTCCAAAGCAGGTATCATTGCCAAGTAAAAGTAAAGATGACTAGAAACCTTAAGCAAGAGGCCATCGGTGCTAGGGACAAGTTGCACCTGTACTCAGAATTTATATTACATTACTGTTTATGCATTTTTCAAAGCCCCTTATCTCAGCACGTCAGCGCCCAGGAGCTGAAGTTAATGGTAACTGTACAAGTTATTCATCACATATAATCCATAAAAGAAGAAACAAAAGAATACTGACCATTTCCATGTACCGGTTGTTCAAAATTCATCCCAGTATATATGTATCCCTAAAACTGGAGATCTCAAACATTAGATGGTTTGTTTGAATGTTTAATTTTAGTTATGTCTTGAGTGTCTGTTCCAGATACCTTTGTTAATATAGTGATACTTGAAACTAGCACTGCCAGTAACAGTCAGGTTATGGATTAATATTAACACTAAGGATATCTGTCGTTAACAAGTGTGCCAGCTACATATTCTGCCTATTATTGCAAATGAAACAGCTCTTTTGTGATGCAAGTTTCTGATAATTTTACTCATCTCATGGTGCTTGTGGTGTGCAAGGAAAAAAACATTCCATTGCAAAGGTGCCCATGAGGTGCCTTGGAGATATGAGATAAACCATGCATTTGAGTTTTATTCCAACTCATTTTCATAGTTCTCATTGATTGAAAAATGTAAAATGTGCTTAACAGAAAAGGAAAAAAAGTTGAGTTAAGCTGCCTGCCTGGGAAGTGTTGATAATGTTCATATGGAAATCTGCCATGGTGCGCTGATGTTGCTTGTGATGTTAATGATCTCTTACAATGATAACTAATAGAGGCTCATTGTAGGTCCATCACTGCCAAGGTTTGGAAGCCAACAGTGTACCCACTGCCATGCATACAAGTGAAACTAATGTTAATTAATATTAATTTATTTTGCTGGACCATGGTGTGAGAAGGCGTGTGTTCCTTATACTCAGGGTTGTGGTATGTTTGTACTCTCAAACTCAGAAAATTTATTATTTATATCAATTATTCCAGAGCAAAAGTTTGAAGCCTGATCATTAAAGAGCATGAGAGCACAAACAATGACATCAATTAGCCCTGTGGTACAGTGTGTAGAATAAATGTGACATGAAGAGAAACTGTATGTCATTCTACCTTATTTCAAACTATGGCACTTTACTCGAGTGTCCAATGAGAACCATGACTAAAGCCTAAGTATATTATGGACTCTCAAAAGCCCCATAGAAGATTATAAATAAACATACTTATTCTGGTTCTTAATGGAAATTTTGTTTTATCACCTCTGAATGTAGCTTCCTGAGAAAGACAGTTAACAGTATGTAATTCACTCATTTGATATTAGTTTCAGAGACCATGAAATATAGAATATACATTTTGTGTCTGTAAAATATGGCACAATATGCATGTTGTCAAAAGAAGTACTTTTCATAAAATGTTGAGAATATAACTGATTCTATTTAACTACATATTTTTTGTATACTTGTTCAGATAACAGAAAATGCCACCTGAATATCAGAATTCAGCAACAATTACATAACAAAATTCCCAAAATTCTCATATATCTGGTTTTAAAGAATTGTTTTATGAAACACAATCATTATACATTGTACATCATGAGGATGGCTATGTTTTAAAATCATAGTCCCCCTAATCCCATGTCCGTTGTTGTAGTGGGGGATTTAGGATGGTTAATGGTTAAAAAGCAAAATAAATGTGCTAGGCATCTAAGGTCATATAGCAGTATAGGTAAGTATATTAGGGTGAAGGGTGATAGTTGCTATGCGTAAACTATCTAGAGTGATCTTGAAAGGTTAAAGATGGGTAAAGAAGTTGCTGTGTTAATGGGCTATGGTGGGTTAAGGTAAGGGAATTACATAAGTGTTTCACGTGTGTATCCAGGAGAGTGTGGAAATGATAGAGGGGATGGAGGGAGGGGGTTGGGTTGTGTTGGGAGGAAGTGGTGTAGGGGGAACATGAGTAGGAGGAAGATGGGTGTCGGGAGGATGGATATCGGCATTAGTTAAACTTGAGGGGGATGGGTGGTGTTGGGAGGGAGTAGGAGGAAGGGCTGTAGGGGAACATGTGCAGGAGGAGGATTGATCTCGGTAGTAATAGGAGAATGGATATCGGTAGTAGGCGGAATCGAGGGGGTTAGGTTCTGTTATGTAGAGGTGAGTGTGCGGTAGGGGAAGGAGGGGAATGTTTAGTCTGTCTGCTGTGGGCAGTGCGGGGAGGGAGAGGGGATGGTGTTGGGGCTGTAGTTGAGATTGGAGTGTCTAGGTTTAAAGTGGCAAAAGAATTTGACTGGGGGAGGTAGAATGTAGAAGTGAGGAAGTAAGTAGGTATAGGGGAGGGTGTAGGAACATCTTGAGGGGGAAGAGCAGAGCGAGCGACATAACTAGAGTAGGGAGTGTAAGAGAAACCTTGTCGGCGTGTTTCCTGTCTGGCTTCACGTAGAGTGAGACCATTCTTGTATTTGAGAGTTGCTACCTCAGACTCGAACTTGTAAGTGGGACACCCTCTATAAAATACATTATGGGGGCTGCCGCAGTTAGCACATGTGCGGATTTGTGCAGGGCAGTTTGATCAGTTATGACCGGGTTGGACACACATGGGGCATCGGTCTGTGGAGCGGCAGTGTTTGACAGGATGTCCAAAGCGCCAACAGTTTTGACATTGACGGGGAGGAGGTTGGTAGGGTCAAACAGGAAGGGACTGTCCATCAATGTAGATACTAAAGGGAAGGTCATGTGTACTGAAAGTAATTTTGGCAATGGTGGGTTTCTTTCGATGACCTCTAGGAGGAATGGAGTAACACTACTTATATCACATTGCGGTCTTTGAGGCAGCAGAGTAAATACTCTCAACAATCTGAACAATCGATATCCACAGGTCAGCTTACTTGGGAGATAGAGACAGTTCCACTACAAGTATTAAGAGTTGGATAAGGTTCTACAGGAATGGGATTGCCAGAGAAATCGGTTAGATTTGATAGTGCTATAGCTTGTTTCAGAAAGGGACTCTGCCCACTTGTTCTTGGGGACAGTGTTGAAAGAGAAGGGTGTTGCCTGAGTAAGGAACTGAAGAGGGGATCACGAAAAATGCGGTTGAAAGAGAAGGGTGCTGCCTGAGTAAGGAACTGTAGAGGGGATCACAAGAGAATCGGTCCCATTTGTCTGGGCTAAATAGAGTATTTAAGAGTATTTATCACAAGGGGGGGGGGGGGTGGAGAGGGGGGTGGGGGGTTAGTATTGGAGAATAGGGGCTGGAGAGTGGGGTGAAGATTAAGAAGCTGAAGTTCGGGAGAGAGGAGTCTCGACTTGGGTGGATAATGCACTAGTAGGCATTGAGGAGTGGGTATTAGTTGTAGTGTTCAGAGGCATGGTCAAAGGAGAGCCGGGAGAGTTTGAATCGGTGGGGCTATTTGTTGAAGGGGCAAGCCTCGTTGCCTGTAATGTGGGTATTACTTCATTACTGGCCATGGGAAGCCTTGGCTATGTTGGGGCAATAAAAAGTCCACCCCTCAGTGTCCCCTTGAGGGGTAAGGGGTAAACAAAACGGGAATACCGTGCCCATGGTTCCCTCAGGCCGTTCAGGACTGGCACAATGTTAGCCTTTCAACTTTTCAGCACGACTCTTACACCTTAGGGTGTAGATAGTAGAAGGGGTTTGGAGAAGGCACGGAAACGAAAGACCTGGAGGGAGAAAAGACAAGAAATTAGTTGCGTCGAGGGCTGAGACCCAAGGCTGGGGAGCTCCCTGCATTGGGTATCATTCTCCGTCTCTTAAGCCCCCCCCCCCCACGACAACAACGGGCACGGGATGGGGGGGGGGGCTTAGGAAACGGAGACCATGTTGGGGAACTCCCCTACCTTGGTCCTCAGTCCACGGCTCAACCAATCTTGCAAAGCCCCCCCCCCCCCTTTCTTATCCTTGTCTTTCTCTTCTTGGAGAGCCATGGGCACGGTATTCCCGATTATTTGCCTAGCCCGTACCCCCACCGGGACCCTGAGGGGTGAACCGTTCCTTCCATAATCCAGGCTTACCATGGCCTATAATGGTTTTGTGCCCTTATTAGGGGCATCTAGGCTTCTTCCTTTACCAACGAGCCGCACTCTTCCGGTTCTCCGGTGATCCTTTGATCACGATTTCAAACATTGCTACCACTACCCACTCCTCGATACATAAAGACCTTGCTCGATACCTGCTGTCAGCTCAGTACATCACCCAAGCTACAAAGAACATTCCTTCCCTCCCAATACCTTCACTTTCTACCTCTTTGTTCTCTATTACTACTATTTCCCCCAGTCCCATGTCTGTTATGGGGGGGGGGGCATAGGAGACGGAGCTAAGGTCAGATGTTGGGGTATCGCCTTTGACTTGGGCCTCTGCCTTCTCCAACTTCTTCCGTCCATTTTTTAAGGTGTAAGAGCCATACTTAAAGGATAAATGGCTGGCTTTGTGTCAGTCTTGAACTGCCTCGGGGAACCATGGACACAGTATTCCCTTGGGTAAGCATCTACCTTATCCGTCATGGGTACCCTGAGGGGTAGACCATTCATTTCTCTCATTTAACACAGACAGCCTGACCTCCAGACTGCGCGCTCTCCCGCTCGCTCATTGTGCGGCGGCCCTCGCCAGGGCTCGCTATCGCGGTTACCATCCAGTCCTGATGTCTTGTATCGTGTTTATTTCTACTCGTGTGTGTAGCCCTTACCAATAAAGAGTATCACCTTTTATACGCAGTCTACGACAAGGTCAGACTACTCGTCTACCTCGTTTACTCTGATGCAGAATCAATACAGTACTACACTGTCCCCCATAAAGGCCGACAAAAGTCCTCCACCAATATTGCCAAGATTACTCTCCATACACATGACCTCCCCCATGATATTTATAATGGATCAGTACAGTATTACAGTATTCCCCCTAAAAGCAATATCGCCAAGATTACCTTCCCATAATGTTTATGTATTGGCGGAGAGTCCTGCCCTGTCTGACCATATCAACTCCTCCCCCATCAATGTCATAGATGATACCGTCTTGGCCACCCTGCCAAATACGGTCGCTCGACAGCCTGCTGTCCTTTGTGTCCAGCCTGGTCATGATCTTTCAAACTGCGCATATGTGCGCAATCACGCACATATGCCAATTGCGGTGGCTCCCATAATGCATTTTATTGTGGCTGCAAGTTTGAGTGAGAAGTGGCAGTTCATATTCAAACTAGGTCTCACTACACGAGGTAAGACAGGAAGCACGCCTACATCTCCCCTAGCCTCTCTTCCTACTTCATGCGTTCCCACTTCTAGCCCTTTAAATCAAATACTCTTGACATTCACAATCTAGACAATGCAAGTCTACCAAGTTCCTAGTGTCTAACCCCACTTCTCGCTCTATCCGTCTTATCAGACACTAAACGTTCCATTGCATCTCCTACCACATTCTCTCCAACACCTACCTCTTCCTCTGCTCATCAGACGTCTGTTTCCAGTTCTATCCCTCATAATCTAATTTATTTATTGAAAACATTCTGCCGCGTCAACATCTAAGATCATCGAGAAGGGTCATACAGCATTATGACAAAATCTTGTAGCAAAAGGGTTAAAAATGAATTAATTAGGACAAAATATGTTAGATGTCAATGGTTCTAGTGTTGTAGGTTAGTATGGTAGTAAAAAGAATAAAAAGGAAATAACAGAGTAAGGCCGTTCAGGGCTGACAAAACCAGCCTTACATCCTTTCAGCACGGCTCTCGCACTTTAGCATGTGGATAGAAGGGCATGAAAAGAAAGAAAAGGAGAAAGGAGTAGAAAAGCATGCAAAATTAGTAGAGGCGAGGGCTGAGGCTCAAGGTAGGGTTGATCCCCTCATTGGGCTCCAGTCAGTCTCCAAAGTTCCCCACGACAATAATGGGCTTCAAATGGGGGTGGGGGAGGGCATAAAGAGACCATTTCTCAGACCTTCCCACCCAATTCCCTTTCAGATATTCGCATTTGACTAATTATGACCCACCCCCAAAACACGCCTATCCCTCAACCACCCTCCAATCTCTCTGCTCTGATTCCCTTTACACTTAAAACTGACAGCAGACACCCATCCATCCACCTCCTCCTCTTATACACCTCTTTCTTCTACTCCCCCGTCCCTGCTCAATCTACACCGCGCGCACACCCTACATTTGATCTAGTTGGCTTTAACCCCCATTTTCCCACTTCAGCTGATCCCTCATCACCCTTTTCAGTACCATACAACCCTACAGTGCTGTATGACTTGACGTGTAGCGTATTTAATCATCAACTCACCCCGTCTTTATCCTCTTCCCTATATCTTCCTATAGTGCTACAAGAATTTTGATGTCTAGTACATTTATTTGCTTTATAACTATTAACCATTTAATCGGCCAGTGTTAATGGTTAAACAAATTGATGTGCTAGGCATCAAAGGGCATATAGAACACTATAGTAAAGCATTGTGGCGAAAACGGTAAAACGAGTTAACGTTTATGATAATGTGTGTTAAATTTCAAAGGTTTTAGAGCGCTATGGGATAGTATGGTAGTAAAAGGGTAAAGAGGGAAGCAAATGGAAGGCAGGGATTAGTAAAATGAGGAAGGGGTTAAGGGCATTGGGGGATTAGATCAAATGGAGAGTATGGGAAAGGAAGATGAACATTGTACGAAAATAAGTAATGAACGGGTGCTAAGGGTAGAAATGGGTATCGGAGATGATGATGATGATGAAGAATCCGGGAATAAGATAGGGGAATAGAATAAGGTGGTGAAGTAATCAGGAAGAATGTCAGGAGGGGAAGGATCCGGAGGACGACACTTCCGACATAAGGAACTCCTGTGATCATTCAGGTGGGAGGGGTAAGGATAATGAGGATGAAGAGGGGATGGTGCACATAGGGATAGGGAGGATGGGTGTGTGTTGGGAGAGAGTGGGAGATAGAAGGGTAAGGGGAACTTGAGGATAATGGATAGATATCGGCAATTACTTTTAATGTAGAAGGACTGGAGATATCGGCAATTACTTTTAATGTAGAAGGACTGGGAATAGAGAGATTGTAAGGTGGATGAGAAAGTTTTTTGGAGGTCACGGTTTATGGTTAAAAATCAAAATAAATGTACTAGCCATTAAAGATCATATAACACTAGAAAAATGTAAAAGGGTAAAGTGGAGGTTTACTTTATTAAATGTGCTACACATCAGTCATATAGCAGAACAAGAACTGAAAGAGGCAAAGGGTGGGTAGGGCTAAGGAAGGGAAAAACAGGAATGATTAGATCAAAATTGTCAAAGGAAGAAACGTGGGGTTCTGCGAGGCTATCTTCAGGGTGAGGTTGTGATTGGCAAAAGGAAAAAGGGGGTTTCAGTGCAATTAGACTAGTTTCTGGAGAATTGTCAGGAGGGAGAAAATCCAGGGATGGGGGTAGTTGTGACATAGTGGAATCATATGTGTATTCAGGAGGAAGTGGAAGGGTCAACAGCGAAGGATGCTGCAGATGAAGCAGGGGGGAATGGGAGCTGTTGGGAATAGGAGGGGGGGTTGATGGTTAATGGTTACAAAGCAAAATAAATGTGAGAGCTGCCACTTTAGACTCAAACTTGTATTTAGGGCAGCCCTGTAATATACATTATTTGAGGCACCCCAATTGGCACATGTGCACGACTATGCAGAGCAGTTTGATCAATCATGACCAGGTTGGGAACAGAGGGCAATAGGGCTTTGGAGTGGCATTGTTTAGCAGGGTGGCCTATATGTCAACGATTCTGACTCTAGGGGTAGGTTGATGATCGACCAGGAAGAGATACCCCACCAATATAAACATCAGAGGGGAGGTCATGTCTACTGAAGGTAATCTTGGCAATACTGGTGTACTTTTGGTAGCCTCTGGGGGGGAATACTGTAGCATTGTACCAATTCAATATAAAATGGTGGAGGTCAAGTCTACGTTAAATAATTTGGGGAATACTGGCTGAGGACTTACGGTGGCCCCTACGGGAATGGCGCATCATTGTATTGATACTTCATAATTAAAGAGGCAGTTGAGGAAATCCTTTCCAGTCTGACCAATTCTTTGTAGACAGGACAGTCTGCTGGGGAGATAGACAGTTCATCAATTACAACTATTATTGACTTCACTGGCAAGCCCATTCATGTGTGTAAATAATGCTTTAGCTTGGCATATGCATGTAGGTGTGGCAAAGCAGAAGCAATCAGGGCAGTTTTGGAAGGAAACTTTTGCCTACTTAGGAGTTAATAATTAGGACACATGAGGTGTCAAAAGTTGTAGAGCACTGTAGGATAGCCTAGTAGTAAAATGGTTTAAGAGGGAAGAGGAAATCCAGTATGACAGCCTTTTATCCTTTCAGCATGTCAGAAGAGGAAAGAAAAGGAAAAGGGAAGGGAGAAAAAAGACCATGCAAAATTAGTTGAGGCAAAGTCTCAACTTAGACTGAGGCCCAATGTAGGGGACTGTTCTCTCTCTCAAGCCCGCCCACGGCAAGCAAAGGATTGGGGGGGGGATGAATAGTGTAACACTGTACTGCCACTGCATCATAGTCAACGAGGCAGGCAAGCAAAACTTTTCAGAGTCTGACCAGTCCTTATCATAGAGACAGCAGTCAGTTGAGAAGGAAACAGTCCCACTGAAAGTATTAAGGGAAGAGTGAGGTTGGGCAGGAATAGGTTTGCCAGTGAGGTCAGTCAGGGTAATCATGACCTGATTATTTTCTTGAGATGGTAGTTTCTAACTGTGACAAAGTCTGAACGATCAGAGCTGTGAAAGGAAACTTTGCCTATTTGTTTTATAAGAGACATTGTTGGAAGAGAAGGGTTTGTAGAGTAAGTGTCTGTAGGGGGAGTCCAGAATTAATCTTATTTGGCTGGACTAAAGAATATTCAAAAGATTTGCAAAAGTGGAAGCAGCAGAAGGATAAAGGTGGAGGGACAATGTGGAGTGAGGTAGTCCTATTGGGAGGAAAAAATGGATAAATAGTAGTGAGAAGGGGGGGGTAGACAAAGAAGGCAACTGTGCAGTAAGAGAAAGGTTATGTAATGATCTGGGAAGTATTCAGAATGGATAGAGTTGACAGCAAACATTGAGGAAGGATTATTATACCAGTCGGAGCCGTGATCAAAGGAGAGGCAGGTCAGGAAACGAGAGAAATCAAATTAGATAGGCTAGATGAAGGGACAAGCCTTTAATGCCCCTAATAATTATGGATAAAATATATCTCCATAATTGGCAATGGTGAGCTTGAAATAAAGAAAGACTGTCCCCAGTACATTTCAGTTTGCCCTTTACATATTTTCAGGAAAGTAATACTAAAAAGATTACTTTATAATAACATTTATTTCAACTTCCACAACAAGGAATGTTTCAGTGTAACACTGAGAACCCCATTACCAACACTGACAAAAGCTTGACAAAACCCTGACAAACTTGTTGGCTCATAACAGCTGCTGATGCATTTTTGTACAGTCTGCTATCAGACTAAAATATCAAAATAAATAACAGACTAGATGTTGTGATTAAGCTAATCATAACACTTTCAGCACAGAAATATGCAATCTTGCATTCTCAAACTCTTGAATGCTATATACTATAATGCTATAATACAGCAGAAATATTGTACCAGTAACCCATAACTAGCATGTCAGGCTATGTCAAGACAAGTAAAATGGTATTTGTAGTTGTATTCAACAGAATAACCATACAAGATTAACGAAATGTCATAAAAAACGAAGCATTTTTACTCCTGCTTAGGAACAAAACAGATGGAAGCTTGTTGATCAACAACTTACATCACTTTTCAAATATATAAAAAGTATCAAAGAAAGAGAACATTAAGGAAGTTACTTCATAAGTGCTTCTAAACTTTCTTCAATAGAATCAAATTATTCTACAACACACTAGACCCGGGCTTTGAGCAAAAAAAACAAAAAACCCTAAACTGTCTCAGCTCAACTTTCCCTTCCATTTTCCCCTTTCAGAAATTAGTTATTAACCATATATGGGAATCTTCAATTCTCAAAACTAGAAAAAAAGACCAACAAGCTTCAAACACAATATTTTTTCATAGAACATAGAAACATTTTTGAAGCATACTTCCTGTACTAATTCATAAGATAATGCTGCCTTAAAAATGCCAAATAAACAACAGCATTTTTAAGTTAATCTTCTGTATTTGTACATTTAGAACAAGAAACTAACATCTTTGTCCAACCATTTGTACTATGATTCTCTTTTGTTTAAAGGTTTGTTTACATTAGCTGAAACTGCAAAACTGATATTTGCCAAATCTAAATATGTAAACATTTGCACTTTCAAGAAATCTGATATACTGATGAACAGTGACAAAACAAATTCTATAATAAATCCCCTTTCTTTCCCTGTCTATCTCTGACAACAAATATGTTTATGATAACTGCCCATTCTTGGAATGATTAAATAATTTCATGTACAGTTGCACCATTATCGTGGTAAATAGCCAAGAGATTTTAAAATTCTCTCTTCATTTAAATTATAGAATGTTTTAAATCTAGATATATCTAGAACAAAATTCAACAATACAAAGAAAAACTAATCAACAAGTAAAATAAGAAATGCATCAGTTCACATAACTGAGACGTCATAGGAATTGATACTGAACATGGTCTATGGACGGACATAAATATTTTACAGAACCTCAAAAATTATTGCACAAAATCACACCTAAACCAGTACTTATGGAACTAGGCTATTGTGATGAACACAATGCTGTACTTTATTGGAAAATTCCTTATTCAATTTGCTGCAAATTGTGCTGCTAAACGTCGCTTTGTGCGGAGTTTTGGTGCCACTGGTGTTGAGGTGGTGTTACCTTCACCTTTATCTGCATCACTGTTGCAGCTGGACCACGTGTCATCAGCCTCTTCACAGATTACACTGCTTGATGTCTGTTCGAAAATGGACAGCTTAGTATACATCATATTTTTTTATTTTTTCAAAACAAGCAAGAATAATAATTCAGGAAAATTAACTTGTCTAAACCCATCCTCAAGCCATCACTCATACTCTTCTGGCCAAATCCTCACTGGCTGAGAGATAAGACTACCAAATACACAGATGATTTATATAACTTCATATCAAATAATATAATATAATGGATATACTGCTAGAATTCCTATACACCAAGATTTTAAAATAGCATAAAAGGAAAACATCTAGATTTTGAATGGGTGTTTGTGTGTTCTGCTGCATCGCTTTACAGGTGTTCAGTGAGATGACAATGACAATGCGAGCCATCCTGTTTTTAGCTTTTCATCACCTCTCCTACAAACAGTTTGGGCCCAAGTTTCAGAAGTGTGGAGCCCTGTGCATCTGTAAACATTTGAGCAAATGATGAAGTGGAAAATTTGGCATGCCTGGCTGTGGCTTGTTCATAAGTTCCAAACCACTCCTTGACTTTTGTAACTAAAAGCCCTCAAAGCAACAGTTTTTTAATAAAAAGCAATTCAAGTATTTGAAGAAAAAGCATTTCCTAGAAAATAAAAGTGACACATCGGTTCACAAATTTAACATGCTTTTATATAAAGTAGTAAAACAAAGAAAGAAAGAAAGAAGAAAAAGAAAGGGAAGAAAAAAAAATCTCCAGCAAGGAAGTAATACGCTTTCGTTGGGAAAATGTTATGTTTACTGTAGTTTTGATTTGTGAAATTCCCTCAAAATTATTTACTATTTTTTTTTTTTTTATAAACTAATGCTAGCAATATGGATGATATTTTCATAGGCCCTATCATTATAATGCAAATAGCATTAGTAATATAATACTTTAAATAATCAAGGAAAATGGGAAATAAGTGTGGTATACATGACTAGTAATTGACTCCTAGATAACCAAGCCATCTATACATAAACTTCAGTGATAAACTTAAAGCAAGCTTAGAGAAAGAAAAGAAGGGGATTGGGTGGGTGGTGGGGAGAGAGGGAGAGAGATTGGAAACTATACAAAGCATTAATAGACCATGAATGAAATTATTGTCTTTGGTATATCATCCCACTATACAAAAATTAAAAAAAATTATGTGCTACTTAAAATTATTACCTGGTTACAATTATCAGGAGCAGTTACTTGGGCTGCCATTTGCTCCTGGGGATGCATTTGTGTGAAAAGCTCCGGGGGTGGCAACTCGCTAGCACTCGGGGGTGCTGCATATTCCTCATTCAATTTACCCGCCTGAAAAAGAAAGCATGAGGGGTTACACACTTGAAAGTTAATTAACTCCTAAATCCTGCAAAATTTACTAGCTATTTATCCCAAATGCATTGCCTGTAGTGGAAGCCAAACTTTACTTTATGTTAGGAATAATATATTATACATTTCTTTATGATGTATGACAAAAGCATTAAAAATATTTTCTTACAAATGGAAGATACATATGAAGATGCATTACTTTTTAATTTCATATCCATCCACTTAAAAAAAAAAAACTATTTAAAACCACAACCTGAACTTCATTACATTTCAAAAGTTAACATACCCAATTCTGTAATTCAGTTTTCTAGTGGCTTCACACATTAAAAATTGCTCTGCTCTACACATGCACATTTTGGTTGGAAAATAGGTCTGGACATGTTCATAGATTTTTAAGCATTTCATTATGTAGCAACTATCAACCCCTTACTTAATCAGTACACCTATAGCTGTCCTAGAAATCCTATCATCATGAGAGGAAACATGTATACATGTTATCACTTGCTCTAGTGAGTGAGAGGACAGTCTGGCTTTACACAGTAAATTCCCTGCCGGAAAGTAATAGTCACCAGAATAATTGATACACAAAATTATGCCTCATCAGTGTAGGGTTAAAGAACAAGAGCAATATAAATGTAATGTATACACATACAAAAAAGGCTAACATCCATCCTACATACACAAAGAAAGAGGCCAAAAATAGTTGCTTCCGATTATAAATTTCTTGCATACTTCAAGAGGATGCAGTATACAGTAGTCACCCTAGACTACAGATTATGCTGTATTTTGCAGTTACAAATCTATTGATAGTAAATGATAAAGAAATGGGATACTTCACAGACTTGTTTCATTCCATTAATATAGCCTTTATTTAGGTAAAAAGAATAAATAAATAAAATAAATAAATAAGTCTTTCCCTTTCAAGCATTGATGACATGTGTGTCAATTAACATTTATGCTCCCCATGACACCGAATCCACATGCTGGGTGTCAAGTATTGTCTATCCCATAACATGCGTGTTAACCCATTGGCGCCGGGTGTCACGTATGTACATGCCATGGCTGTTGTGGACCAAACGCCGGTGGCATCATACCATGCCCATTCCCACGCTACTGGCTCGTCGGACGGAGGTTGTTTTTCTCCACTAGTAGCGGCTTCATTTATATAGTAAAGATTTTAGGCAATGGCACCTAAAGTGAAGGTAAACCTTCAACATTTTAATATTTTTATAAATTTTAGCAAAATAAAAGCTTTTAGGTGCTATATGTCGCTCACAAACTACCGATCGAGCAGGGCGCAAACAGGGGAAACTGCCAGTGCACGCCAACAAGCCGGCGCATACATAAACTTGACAAAATTTTTACCCGTTGCTGATGGGTTAAACACCTTTGATAATCCTCCAAAAGTCTTTTCAGCCTCTGACTGACCATGGCAGAGATGGTATTACAGAAAGTGGGGGGGAAAAAAAAAAAAAAAAAAAAAAAAAAAAAATTAATCACATCTGACATTTAGGTAACCTTCCTATTGAATTGGTCTTTACAACGGCAACGACCAATTTTAAATCAAATCAAATTTACCCATGCTCTGATGTACTGACCATTGAGTCAAGTGTAGCGGTAATATTTCAATCCTTACTTTTACGGCTATTTTCAAACGTTAGTGCTTTGTACTTGGTAGAAGTACAGATCACTTTGTAAGCTACATAATATTACCAGTGAGTTTCGATAGAAGCATATTTCGTGCGCAAAAGGATAAAACTTATTTTTTTTTTAAAGATATATTTCACAAAATATTTCGTCATAAATCACCGATATATTTTTTTTTCTGATAAAGGTATAAAAGTGTTACTTGAACATTCACGTACTCATTAGGTGTACCTGGGCGCTCACATTAGTGATGCACATGCCCAGGTGTTTAAACGGGTCTCCCGTCAGCTGTAAGACAACAAGCCACAGCAGAGCTTTAATAGTTATTTGGTAGTTTCCTCATCAATGTACCTATACTATACACTAGCTAACACAATTTGACCCCCCCCCCCCACCTCCCATCTTGGACGGTCTCAAACCAGAGGTCTGGCAAAAATTAAGCAGTTCCTTTTTATCTATTTATTCATTTTTTATTGTCCATCAGCACTATTTCTCCTAATATATATGGGTGTCCCATATATGAGACACCCGGAAAAATAAACATTGCTGGGCATCCCGCCAGTGTGATGTTGGATCGGAGCTCGTGCTCCCACAAACTACTGAGTGAGCCATGAGCAAACA